ATTATGAGCGTAATGACCGCTGGATGGCTGCTCCCTCGAGCAATGTGCACACTGTTTCTCTGTTTCTCTCCTCCTGTAAGATGACATCCTCCTTAAGTGTTCTTCGGTACACTGGCCTTTCAGTCCTCTGGGGTCCTTGATGAGAGGTCTAATGACAGATGAATGTTCCTAGATCTTACCATCCAGACCTTGGCTCTCATAGATATAATCTGATTATCCCGGACACTAGAATTTTACGTCAGTGGAAAATTAGAAGCTAGTATCCGTTCTTCCTCATCCTCTGTGCTCTCCAATTCTCTGTAGACATATAAACAGGTCTGTTCCAAAACCTAGTGTTCTGCCTCACTTCCTACTGCCAATGTAGTCAGTCTTCTAAAAGAGCATCTTAAAAGGTCATTGAAACTCACAATTGGCTGATTTTGAACAATTTACATACAGTACGCAGAAACTAAGTACACCCCACCTTTAGCATTCCACACAGGATATTTGATTTTAAATTGATTTCAACAGAGTTTGGTGTTAGGATGTTGCTAAGCTAATGATGTGATTTCTCTAAGAAGCATCAAAAAGCATAGTCAATTACTGAGTAAAATAATACATATTTACATTCACAGACTATTTTATTGATTCAGTATTGAATGACATACACTACAATTCTAATATATTTGGTCAGTAAAAGCAAACAAACAAACAAAAATCATACTTTTATTCAGTAAGGATGCATTAAAGTGATTAATGGTGACAGTAAAGAAAATTTTAATGTAACAGAAATGTATGATTTCAAATAAATGCTGTTCTTTTGAGCTTTCTGTTCATAGAAAAAAAATGTATCAATATTTCAACAAAAATATTAAGTGACTGTTTTCAACAATGATAATAAGAAGAAATGTTTCTTGAGCACCAAATTAGCATATTAGAATGAAGGATCATGTGACACTGCAGACTAGAGTAATGGCTACTGAAAATTTAGCTGTCAATGTTAAGGAATAGACATTAATAGAAACAATAATGCCACTTAAATATTGATAATAAAGCGCAATGTTCAATGTTTAATTTATTTATAAATCACTTTAAAAACAACCTTAGTTTACCAAAAAATTACATTGACCCAATCGCACAATAAAATAAACACATCATTAGAAAAACACAGTCACAAAACATTAAAAGCATGGGAAAAAAGATAAGTTTTTAAGAGACATTTAAACTCAGACACTGAAGGAGCTGTTCTGATAGATAATGGCAAATTGTTCCATAGCTTGGGGACTACAGAGGCTCTGTCACCCCTACATTTCAATCTAGATCTGGGAACCAAAAGCAGATGCTTAGTCTGTGATCTGAGTGATCTGGCTGGATTGTGTACAATAATCAACTCTGAGAGATATGGAGAAGCAAGGTTGTTTAGAGCTTTGTACACAAACAGCAGAATTTTGAATTGAATGCGATAATAAATCGGTAGCCAGTGCAATGAGCGTGAGATAGGCATGATGTGATTCCATCTGCGACTGCCTGTGAGCAAACGAGCAGCCGCATTTTGGACCAGTTGCAGTCGATGAATAGATGAGACAGGCAGTCCATAATAGAGCGAGTTACAATAGTCAAGTCGCGAAGAAATTAAAGAATTAATTATAATCTCAAAACTCTTCCTGCTTAGGAAGGGTTTAACTTTTGCTAGTCTTCGCAGATGGTAGAAGCTGGTACTCACAGTAGAATTAATTTGTTTATTCAGCTTTAGGTCGCTGTCGAGTATAAAGCCCAGATTCTTGATCTCAGAAGAGCAATATGGGGAAAGAGAGCCCAGATCAACAGTGCTCAGATCGGTTTTCTAGTTTGGCCTGAACAGAACAATTTGTGTTTTATCATCATTCAAAGGCAAAAAGTTACTGGTAAGCCATGTTTTCAGTTCTTGGAGACAGGCTGTTAGTTGGTTTAAAGCAGACTTGTCATTGCTAACAAAATATATATTGTGTGTTTGAGTGGTCCAGACGCTACATGCTTAAATGGTATGTAAAGCTGGGTATCATCGGCAAAGCAATGATACGACACACCAATACTCCTAAAGATTGACAGCGAGAACAATAACGGCGCCAAAGTTGATCCTTGAGGAACACCACATGAAGAATGCGCTACAGAAGAGGATTATTTCCCAATGCTGACTGAGAATCTTCTGTTAGACAAAAAGGACTGAAACCAGTCAAGTACAGTACCTCTAACACCAATGCAGTGCTCCAAGCGAGATAGCAGAATGCCATGGTCAACAAAATCCAAACGCTGAACTGAGATCTAAAAGCACTAAGGCCATAATATTACCAGAGTCAGTAGTTGTTAAAACCTTCAGAAGGGCAGACTCTGTGCTGTGTAAGCTTTTAAAACCAGACTGAAAAATATCGGAGATACAGTTAGTACTCAAATAGTTTTGCAATTGCATAAGTACTATTTTTCTAGAATTTTGGGTAAAAACGGCAAGTTAGAAATCGGTCTAAAATTTGAGTAAACTGCAGGATCAAGCGAGGGCTTCTTACAAATTGGTGTCACAGAAGCTAATTTAAAACATTCTGGTACAGTCCCTGTCATAAGACAGTTGTTAATAATAATCACTAGTTCTGAACTAATAGTATCAAAGATTTGTTTAACTAATCGTGATGGAATAACGTCAAAGGGGAAAAGGTAGATTTTAATTTTAAGGTGATTTCTCTGCATGTCTGTATAGTAACCAATTCAAATTCACACAGGCAGAGTTGTTCTCAACTAAGAGAAATTTTGCTCAATGGATTTGTCCCTTTAGACTCTGCTGTGTCTCATTAATGACAATGCAATCATAGTTAATGAATCAAATCTCTAATTGTCTTTAGTGGGATGAGAAGCACACTCACAGGAATTTGATTACAGCCTCTGTGTTCATATGCTGTCTCTGAATTTATTTCAGGCCATTCTCATTGATTTTTGTTTTATTTCCACATAAATGTCTGGAAAAGTGTGTAAAGGATAGAGGAGCCATAGTATTAGCTACTAGTCATTTTGCAGATGTATTTCATAATTTTTACAGTGAACGGTGAAAGAACAGTTATGATTCTTCCACATGACAAATAGTTGAAGATGTCAACAAACACAACAACAAAAACAGCATAAATGTAGACAGCAAAACAATAAATAGTAACATAGCTTTATTTATTCATGACCCAGTGCATTGCTGAGAACTCGATTACCACATTTATCACAGTATTATGATCCACAGATTCCTCATCTTGCTTAGATATGCTCACATTTCACAGAAAATCTGATTCTTTTTTTGTGCTTCTAGTTTATGTGCAGGGCCTATTCAAATGTATTTGCTGTACCTGATTTCCTCTCCTCCAAACTGCATGCGTTTGTTGGTGTGCACAGACAGTAGCCAATACATGCATTTACATGACCTCATATTAATTGAGAAACTTGGAGTTACCATTTTTATATTGTAATGTTACAAGAATGTAATGTGATTTTTGCACATAATACTGTGTATAGCATAGCCTACATGGTTACATTCACTATATTTCTTTTTCATAGCCTTTAATGTGAACATTGTTTCATTGGACAACATCGGGCAGGATGTGAAAAAATTTTTTTTAAAAAATAAATACAGGTTTTTTTTTCACCCGAACAGAAAAACATAGAAAATAAATACTGTATATCGCAATTTGGCCCAAAAAATACAGAGATGTATTCACACCTCATTAAATGTGGTAAGGAAGTTGGAATGGAAGCACTGGATATTTGGCCCAGGTTAAATTGTTACCCATTATACTGTTTCTCATGTCTGGTTAGCAGATGCTTATGTCATTACTGTGGTAATCTGGTGAAGTCTGTATTCAGCATTCCTCCAATCCTCAGATCACTCCAGGGAACACAAACCTGTGAAGCAAGGGCTGCAGAAAACATCTAACCCACCAGACCACTGAGACAATGTCATGCATTTTGGCTACTGAACACACATTCATTTAGTATGTCAAGACAATTTTCAGGCTTGAGAGGAAGTGTAGGCGATTCACCATTGTTTCATGCACCCTCCGAATGAGATGAAACCATTTCAGTGCCATCTCCTTTATTCCTGATGTCAGATGGCATTCATCCAGTTTTAAAAGATGAATCACTACAATTCTTTTCAGACCACAAGGATGGCAATATCTGGCAACCCTGCACTGGACTTGGTTTAGATTCTGTTCATTTTAAAACAAAATGTTTGGCTAAAGAGAACTATTGTGCTGTCATTTTTCATTCAGTTGCATGAAATAGTTACTGATATAAGCTTTAGCAGTAATAAATCAATTATAATTAAGAGAAAGTCAGTCAGACAAATTCCCTACAGCACTGTAATAAATGTAATACTCAGAGGAGTGGAGATGCAGCAGTGGAATTTGGCTTCGACTGCTTTTGCCAAAAATGCAATTTTAAAGCTAAAGCAAGAGAGATAAAGGGACAGAGGTAGGCACGATGAGCCGGTTGCCGTAGAAACAGCTGTGTAAGAGAGTAGAGGGGGTTTAAGGATCTTTATGTGTGTGCTGAATCAGCATTCTCCATGATCACCTAAAAATTACAGACAATATGTTTGTGATTAAATGGGCACTAGGAGAAATCTTCTCTTTGCATGCCTCATAAATGCTTAGTGTACGGCCCAGTGTTGTATATGCTGCTGAATCAAAGAAAAACTCTGTCAGTGTCACTCACTAGTCTAAAAGGATCGTCTTTACAGAGCGATGACCAGATTGCATTTCACATTCTTTTTTTTACTCTTGCAAAGACCATGAGATCTCACCAAGAATCAATTATCCAGACAATAAAAAGGATTATGGTTGTAAAGGTATGAATGTGTTATCGTGAAATGTGTTAAAGAGATTATTACAGGTGCTGTTAGTGAAGGAATGGGTGGAGATTTGATCTCCTCCAGGTTCTTCTGATGTTTAGAATTCTCTCTGTACCTCTGCTCCTTCTCAGTTTCTACTCTCATTACTTCTTTCTTATTGCAGGCCAACGATGCCTCAGGGAACACCTGGAACTGGCTCTACTTCATCCCACTCATCATCATTGGCTCTTTCTTCATGCTCAACTTGGTTTTGGGGGTGCTGTCAGGGTGAGTCTGAAATCAGAGTCATCAAATGAGTCCCAACTGCGTGGGAATTTTCTGGTACTCTATGTTGTACACATGCAAGTAAACTTATTCAGGATTCCTAAAAAGTGTCTTAAAATGTACCCATTGTTTATTGGAAGTAAATTCCTGGCCGGGGGTTGCTAAAGATAACATTATAGTCATTAATGGTAAAATGAAGGAAATAGCATTATTTATTTGAGGATGCCTTATATTCAGAAATTTAATTTGAATTCATTTGAATTAAAGTAACAAAGAGGATGTGGTGAGGATGTGTTCAAATTTGAATTTAGTTCAACTTCTATTATTTTTCCTTTTTTTAAATAATATATATTTCAATTTAATTCAGAATGAATTACCCATAAATTTATTTTCATACAACATATGAGCTATTTCCAAAAACATTAGGTGGTACAGTATAACTTTTTGAAAATAATCAGAATTAATTAAAATTAATAATTTAAAAAAGTAATTATTCATTATTCTGTCACAAGACCTTTGCTGAACTAGTAAAATTATTTTGTTGCATTGAATTTCTTGCAATAAGTTAAGTATTCTTCCTATCATTTGCACTTGGTCAGTTCAATTCAAATTTCAATTCATGCGTTGAAAGGAACCCTGGGTTGTAGTGTTGTTATATGATCATCCTTTTTACTCTTGCCTCAAGAAAGGGATTCAAACTTCATGTAACCCATTTAACTAATCGTTCACCTTTAGATTTTATGCTCTTGCTTGGCCACAAACATAAATATAAACAATTTGGAGCCAGTACAAAGCATACAGTAACTGTTTAAAGCTTATATGGGAAGCAAACAAACAGTGCTCCTTTAAAATTATTCAAGGGATGCATCTTATAGCTATTAGGTGGGCTCGTTTGAAAAAAATGGGCTTTCCTAAACCATTGAAAGCCCCATAAAATAATTTCTGTCCTACAGGTTGGAATCTATTCACCTACAGCTTATGCATATCCAGAGAAGAAGCAACGTTAAGTGCAGTGGAGCTCTGCTTCTCAATTCGATTAGGCAGCTCTATTTTGCCAATGCAGTGTTGGTCACAATAAAGTTTTTCCTCCATCAATTGTGATTGAGCTAAGAGCCACATATATTCTCTATAAAACAAATAACACACCGACACACTAAAGCATCTTTATTTTCCCCTCATGCTTTACCTCTCTTGCTCTCTCTCTCTCTATTTGCCTTATTCCCTCTCTCACACACAAACACTGTTTTAATGGAAAGTCTCTGGATGAATGCTTTGTGGTGAACTCTAGCTGCTGGTGGGATTTGAATTTATGATTTCTTGGAAATCCTCAATCTAATGTTCACTCTATTTCAGTTAATGGATTTTCATGTCTGTGTTGCTGTTGTGTGGCATTCAATATTTATTGTTGCTCCTTCAGAGGGACTCTAGTGTCCTTTGACATCTCTGCTTTCAAGGCTTTAGTCGACAAAGATTCATTCTCACGTGGTGATGCTGCTCTCTCTCTCTCTCTCTCTCTCTCTCTCTGTGGAGTACAGTAATCCCAGAATGACTGGAGAGCTATAGGCTTTATCTTTGGCATCATTTCATCAAAGAATCCTGAAAAAAAAATGTATCACTGTTTCCACAAAAATAATAGGCAGCACAACTGTTTTCAAAACTGATAATAATAAGAAATGTTTTATGAGCGGCGAATCAGGATATTATAATAATTTCTGTAGGATCATGTGACACTGAAGACTGGAGTAATGACTGCTGAATATTCATCTTTGCCATCACAGGAATAAATTATATTTTTAAAATATGGTCAAAATGAAAAAAAGTTTTTTTAAACTGTAATAATATTTCACAATATTACTGTTTTTATGTTTTTAATCAAATAAATATAGCCTTAGTGAACATAAGAGAGAGAAAAAATAGTATATAACATAAATGTTAACATACAGTAAGATTATAGAGCCATAAATTTCATTTGGGTAGCATTGTTCAGATAACTTGGAGTTTTCGAAAAATAAAAATGGTTTGATTTTTGTGTTGCAGATCTGATTGCAGACTTTTGTTTTTGAACATTGTTTGAGACATTTCTGAGATTTCTTCAGACATTCTATTGGAGACGTGAGATTGCTTGGATCTTTTTCACAGGAGACAAATGTGAGAATAAGACTTAGCAAAAGAGTACATTTGTTTGCACAATGCAGTTGTCACTCCTGTAATTAATCAAACTCTGTGTGTTATAATACTGATGAACTTGCCACTGTGCCCCTCTACGTAGGCCTGTCACGATAACAACTTTTTGTTATGCGATATATTGCCCCAGAAATAATTGCGATAAACAATATTATTGTCATTTTAAGACCATTTTATGCCACTGAATATATAATCATAATATAAAAGCATAATAATGCAAGAAGGCCAACACACTTTCAAATGACAACAAACTTTTAAGTAAGGAACAATTGACGATGGGTCGTTGAATTATTAGAAAAAAAATGCACACCCGAGGTGGTGATGCGGCCACGACGCGAAGCGGAGTCCGGTTTTTGTACATAAAACGCATTGTGAGTAGGATTAATTTCTTCCGCATCTCATCCAACGCCTCCGTTGCTAATTCCAAAACGTCATTTTAGACCTATTAACGGAGGCTTGAGCCGTTGATAGCAGACTAATGCAGATATTAATTAAGTTATTAGACTGACAGAGAGAGAGAGAGAGAGAGAGAGAGCACGAGTATATTACCTCTCAGAGTCTGTCTCTCAAAATTGTTCGGCAGCAGCTTCTTTACTAACAGTGAAACTTTAATTTCATTTCTTCACGAACAGCGCCGTTGTTACCTCAGTTGTGAGAAATATCATGCAGCTTTTAAAATAAAATCGGCAGAGTAGCGATTACAACGTTAGCGTGTGTATGTTTCTGTACTATTAGTTATGTATGTGCATCTGTGAGGGAGAGAGAGCGGGAGAGATTGTGCTTTACCTACATAATAAAACGTAATTATGTGGCAAAACATGGAAATGATCTGTCGTTTTTATCATATTGCTTACTATATTTATTTGTCTGGCCAGTGTTGTTGTGGGTTTTGGTTATTGTGCTGTTGTAAGACCTTTGAAATAACAGAAATCATATGGCGAAGTGATATGGACATGTAATGCGGTCCAGAGCTGCCTGGAACTACGTTCGCTGTGCGTTTCCCTGAAAATAATTGCAC